CCGCTCGCGGCCGCGGAGTGCTGAGTCACCAGGCGGGCCCGGCGGCGGCGTGCGTGGCGGGGTCTGGGTGGGGGTGCGGGCAGGAAACACCCGGGCGGGTCCCGTGGGTGCCGGGCGGGAGGCGAGAGCGAGCGAGGCCCAGGGCCTCCCTGGCCGCCGCCTCGGCGTCTGTAGGCCAAGGCGGAGAGCTGACGTGTTGGGAGAGCCGTGGTTCTTCCCTGCGGGGTCGTCTTGTGGGTCCCGAGGATCCTGCGGACTCTGAGTTGCGCAGTCCGGGGCCTGGCCAGTCCTTGAGATCCGGGGGGGGGCGGGTGCGGCCGGGCCGCCGGGGTGTTGTCGCATCCGTTATCCTTTTGGGGCTTGCTTTCCGACTTGAGCTCTCTAGTTCAGGGGTCTGCAGACTACGGCCTGCGGGCCTAATCCATCCCGGGGCCGGTGTTTGTGCAGCCCTCGAGCTAAGTGGTCTTTTGTATATTTATGTTTAAAGGGTTGTGAAAAACAAGAATATGCGGCAGAGACCGTATGTGGCCCTTCACAGAAAGATTTGGTGACCTCTGCTCTAGGTCATGTTCAGGCTGTAAGGGCAAAGAAGACGACCCTGGACAAAGCTCCTGTTCCTCCTCCAGACCTCAAGAAGCCAGATCTAAACAACTCCTTTGTTGGGGGTTTTCCAGAGCAGTGATTTTTAACCCTGGGGGCGCAGTAGGCTTATTTGGGGAGCTTTTAAGAAATACAGATACCCGGGCCCAACTCTAGATCAGTTATATCAAAATCTGTCGGGGTGCAGTCTGAACATTGCTGTTTTTTAAGTTTCCAAAGTGGTTCCAGTGTGCACCGTGGATTGAGAATTATTGTGGGTAGAGGGTAGTGGGTGCGTTTGGGAGTTGAAAGTTAGGAGACCTGGACTGTTTCCTTTGCATGGAATTGTCACTTGACTCTGTTCTTGGAGTCTTAACCCAGTTCTCTGTAAAGTGACTTTGAAATTGCTCTACCAATAGGCCCGTTACTGAGAGGGCCAAAGACAAATTTCTGAACAAATCTTGTAAAATAAAATAGGCAGAAATACTCATGATGATATTGCAAAACAGGTGTGTGTAAGGAAGATGCTTATGATCAGACTGTTCCCCCAATCTTAGGTTACCAACCCGTGGAAAATTGTTTATGTTGTACTTGGCTAATTAATCATGAAAGAATATTTAATATATGAATGAGATTTAGTCTTTAAAGAGGTTTACAGAAATGTGAGAGGACAGGAAAAGTAATCTAGATAAGTATCCATCTCTGAAATTTGTATGAGAGAGAACTTAAATTCGAGCTAATTTTGTTTTTTAAGTGGTTTCCAGATTTTCTGGAAAAGCCTCTTTGGCATTTGACTACATTTTGTTGTTTTCATTTGCCAGACTTTGTTTTGTGGGTCCCCTCTCCTCCCCACATAATTCCCGGATACTAGAGAATGGAAGCAACCTCTGAGGGATCCCTTCCCTCTGGCCAGTGAGAAATGGCTCCTGGTGCTTCATTCAGAAGCCAAGCTGTGAGTCCATTCATAACTGAGGTTCCCTTAGTTTTCCCACCTTCCCTGAGTGGCTTGTATGGTTCCTTCTTAAGTTCCAAACTTCATTTTGGTGGTGCTGTTTGTGCCTAATGAAGACCCTTGATAGTTAAGCATTACAGCTCTCCAGATATGCAGATGTATTAAATTGGCAGTGAACTGTTTTTGTTTGGCCTGTTGAGTGTTTAAAATTTTGGATTCATTTCCAGTTTTTTCCCCCCAATTTTTAAAAATCAGAAATTTTCGCCTGTAAGTCCAAATTCTTAGCTTCTCTTGAAAAATTGGGAGATGTGTCCATACTGAGCCTTCATTAGCCCAGGGCAACACTGCGGGACCAGTTTACTTTCCTTCTTGCTTCCCTGACCTGTTTTCCTCATTTGAGATAGCCTGGCCCCTGTAGGGCTGTACCCAGGCAGCTTGCTGTTGAACTACTGTATGTGCTTTGTGTATTACCCGTTAAATGGAGGCTTGGCAGAATTTGTCTTGTCTCTGTGCTTTGATAACACAGCGTGTTTTGGGGGATATTTCACATTTGAGTTTTTCCAAAATTAAAGGTTGTCCTTAAAAGAATCGTAGTATATCTATTCTCAAAAAGAAAAGCCAAAAAGGCAGCAGTTGCCACGCTACTTACTTTGAGCAGTAGTATTTATCTAGTGGAAAGTCAAATCTTCCGAGTTAACACCTCTTGTAACTGTTGGCCCTGGCTATTTAAAAACAAAGACACCATCATGTTTATTACTGTGTGAGTGGTGTGTATATTTTGTTTTACTCCTAAGATCTCTTCTCTAGCTGTAATAGTAACTTCCTTGATTTCTGTATGCAGCCATGCAGTATGATTACCCATCACCATTGCCTGAATGGTGGTGCCTCTGTGTTTTTTTCCACCTGCTTTGGTGTTTTTGTTATCCTTGCTTTTTGGTCTCAGTAGTGAGAGTGGAAAGGTTATCTAGATTTCAGTGCCTAAAAAGACTTCAGAAAAGAGTACCTCTGGTTAGACTAGACTCAGTCTCCCAGGGGCAGTGAGATAGGATATTTTCTGGCATGAATCAAAAATATCTATGCTGGAAACTGATGGTCACCCCTCTCATGGAGAATGGAGAACAGGGATCCTCAGGTAGCCAGTTGGACATTTCCAGAGTGCCTTTTCTTTCTTTCTGTTTTTTTTAGGGCAAATGTGTATGTTTGCTGTATGGAAGAGTTGTCTGCATGAAGAAAGCACGGTGCTCAAAAGTGTATGATGTGCTAACATTTGGGTTTAAAAGTTTGCTGTGTACGCATATACTCACCGTGTGCAAGTATAACGATCAACAAGTATTTACAAAATAAATAAGAACTTATTTGTATGACATTTGAATAGAGCAGTTAAGCAGCTTGCTGGAGACCCACTGCTAGAAAGTGGTGGGCCGGGCATTTGGACACAGATCATTTTTAACTCCCAAGTCCATGTTCTTTCCCGTTTTCTGTGAGTGGCAGAGATAATTCAGCTGTTTTATTTGTTCAGAAGCACTTGCTCTCTCAAACTTCTTGCACTTTTCTTTGAATAAAGGGAGATGGGCCAGTCGTGGTGTCGGGATCCATTGAAGGGTTGACTAAAGGCGAGCACGGATTCCATGTCCATGAGTTTGGAGATAATACACAAGGTGGGTGTTGGGCTGCTCTAGTGACCCATACTGGTTTAACCTAGTAAGATAAATGGGACTGAGTACAGTTAGCCCTAAACATTAAAAAAAAAGAAAAGTCAAGTTAGTGACTACTAAAGTCAACCTTAGGGAGATTAGCCACAAAACTGGTTTTTGACTCTAAGTGTGGAAAGGAAGGGGAAGGAGTTGATGTTTTTTATCATGATTATGGCTTGATTATATAAGAGTCTCAGGTGTTTTTTGAGGAAACAAAAAATGCAGCTCCTGGGGCCAGCCAGTGGCGCAGTGGTTAAGTGCGCGTGCTCTGCCTCGGCGGCCCGGGGTTTGCAGGTTCGGATCCCTGGCGTGCGCCGACGCACCGCTTCTCAAGCCGTGCTGTGGCAGCGTCCCGTATAAAGTAGAGGAAGATGGGCAGGGATGTTAGCCCAGGACCAATCTTCCTCAGCAGAAAAGAGGAGGATTGGCAACAGACGTTAGCTCAGGGCTAATCTTCCTCACCGAAAAAAAAAACCAAAAAACTGCTCCTTTCTTATCCTCTGCAGTGATCTCCGGTGTTAGTGAGCTGGGGTTGAGGGTGGCTGCTTCACGCACAAGTCGCATTTATTTGCATTACCCTGTAGAAATAGCTCCACACCTCCAAACAAGCTCCCTAGTAGGACAGAAGGAAGAGACAAATTGAAGATAGAATGTAAACTCTTGGTGCTTTGGATTGAGTTTCATTTTCTCAGTGTGGGATTAGAAGCAAGTTAACAAAAGTTTATGGGTTAAATTGCAGTTCGTGATCTTTTGCCATATTTGAGTTATCTGAACTTAATGTTTACACTGTTTATGATGAGAACTTGATTCATTTTGCTGGCACTTTGTTTAATGTTCCATAATTTGGTTCCCATAAATAGTGATCTAATGTCCAGATTTGATCCATTTCAACAACTATAAAATTCCTCCAGTTGTTTCTTGGTTTTATTGCCTGTGCTTTGCGAGGCAGGTGCTCTGTGGCTTTGATATACTGTGCTACTTTGAGTAACCTCCGGGTCTTCTACCTGGGTGGGGTGGATCTGGGGGGACGGGAGCAGCTGTAAACAATGGAAACTTTCCATCAGCCACTGAATGAAGAAAGGACCTCCTGCATTGTGGGGGCTTTGTCCTATGTGAATGGTGTTCCCTGGCACACAGGAGTGCCATTTTTACCGAACACAATCTGAATGCCACCCTCTGGAGTTGTGTGAGGCAACAGCCCTTGGACATAAGGTGCCATTCTATATTCTGCATGCAGCAAGTAAAGGTCACAGACAGGAGAGCTGCTTGGTGTAGTGTGTTGCTGGGGAGGTAAGTTTTTTGTAGTTAAGGTATGCTACCTTCTTATGAACTAGGATCATAATCATGGGATTTTAACAGTAGGAGAACCGTTGAAGATCAAGTCTCGGCCATCTTATTTTAGAGGGCAATGAAGAAAGCAAACCAGAGAAGGGTATTAACTTTACCAGCGTCATGCAGGAGTTAGAACTTGTCTCTACTCTCTGCCCATTTTTTTGAAGGTGTTGCATCCTGGTTTTATTAGCCTAGAAGTTACGATGTGGGTCAGTAGTTTCTCCATTTGAGGTTTTCTCAATGACCAGTTTCTTTTAGAATTTTGATTCATAATTTGGCTACTTTTTTTGGTAAATAGGCTGTACCAGTGCAGGTCCTCACTTTAATCCTGAATTAAAAAAACATGGTGGACCAAAGGATGCAGAAAGGTGAGTGACAGAATGCTTAACTCTTATTGAAATAGTGGTGGTGGCTTTTTGGGGTCAGTATGGGTATACTCCTTGCAATTGCGTGCTTAAGATAATTGAGTGGTCTCCCCCACCTCTGCTGTTGAATTTGTTGCCTCCCATGTAACACCTTGCCCCCAAGTGCTGGAATGGCTTACTCCATGGGCTAAAGAATTGACAAATGGGGACACTTAAAACGATGTGGTTTTGTACATTTATTGAGTATAGAACTAATACAAATGCCAAAGGGAACTAATACAGGAAATGTCATGAATAACAGTACTGTCAACCACTAGCAAAATAAACCATCATGGGGAAACATAGGAAACTTTGTAGATAAAAATTTGATATTGAAAATTTGATGAGACTCCATTTGTATGTTTATTTTCTCAGAACCTTTCAGGAAAATATTAAATTTAAGGACAAGGATTAGTTTATTTTTATAACAGAGGCCTAGGGGCATAGCTTTCTTAGCTGTGCCAAGAGTTAACAGAGTGAGAATCTACCCTTTGGTACTTTCCCTCTGAGATTGAGATGCGCCCTCATCCCACAACTCTTCCCAGAGCATTAGTTTGCAGACTTGAAGCCCTGTTTGAAGAGCTGCGTGTCAAGAATGCCTAGTTACTTGTTTTTAAATTTGTATGTTTGCAAAATTTTGTCAGTCTGGAAAAGTGGGTCCTATTTGATATTTACCATATCCACCTCTAAGCCCACCCTTAAAGATCTATCTGACTCCGTCAGTTTTTAATGTAGCTCATGAACGGTCTTGATGTTGTTAAACGGAAATCAGTCCTAATCTCTCTCATGCTTTTTCAATGTTAGGCATGTTGGAGACCTGGGCAATGTGACTGCTGACGAAAATGGTAAGGCCGATGTGAATATTAAAGATTCTGTGATCTCACTCTCAGGAGCACATTCCATCATTGGCCGCACAATGGTGGTAAGTTTTCTTATAATAAGGATATGCATAAAATTCTACCTAACACATAGTCATGTATCTTTTCATGCTTTCATGATTATTAATCCTGGTTTCTAAGGGTCCACACAAATTGTACCTTTAGTTCAGATTAGGAAAAACAGTTAATTTAGTGGATGATTACAGTGACGATGTATTAGTGATCTAGGTCAGTTAAGAATGCCGTTCTGCTGAGATGCAGTAATGAAGTAGATTACATTTGATCATAATAGATTTGCATTATGGAAACAGTAGTCTTTAGTTTTAAAATGGCCAGATTTTCTTGCTACAATTGGTTTTCCCCCTTGTAGTTAAACAGAACATTTTGTTGGGTCTAAAATCTGGGGCAGACCTCAACAACATTAATACTCCTTCATGTCTGCAGTTTACCACCACTTGTTCAACACGTGGGAAGTGGTTGTCCCAAGTTACCCAAGGGAGCTGCATCTGGTTCATGCAAAACAGTGTGTAGCATGTGCTCTCTTTTGGCTACCCCAGAGCACAGTTCACATTCAGTAGCCTTTCAGTTGACCCTTTGTCCTTAGAATTTTCTTCAGTTGGAGTTGTGAAGCAGAAAAATCACTTATCAATGTTTGATGAGCAAAATTTAAAATCCTATTGTTTAAATAGTTTCATAGTTTTAGGATTTACCTCTTATTTATAGGCCTATTGTTCCTTAGGCACGATTTTGATAGATTTTTTTTGGTTCACCTTCCCTTTCCTTTTTTTCAAAGCATTTTGTACTAAAAAGAATGACTGCTGTAACTGAGGTTACTAAAATTTCTCATGGAGGATTAAGACCAGCATGTGGTGGCCTCATAACATAGTTGTTTGGGTTTTTAGTATTTCATTTAGAGATAGCAGCACTTACCTAGTGTCAGAACATAACTTATGTCTTTGCATCATCAAGAAAAAGCTTTGAGTAGTAGTTTCTACTTTTTACTACTAGATTAAATATTAGATTTCCCTACTAGTAGGATTATTTAAACATGTTCTTTTCTAATATTAAGTGGTTCTTCAAAGTCTTTTGGGTATTGTGGAGAAGAGGTGGTAATTACTTGATAGCCCTAAGTTATGTGTTTTTAAAATTTTTTAAAGGTCCATGAAAAACAAGATGACTTGGGCAAAGGTGACAATGAAGAAAGCACAAAGACGGGAAACGCTGGAGGTCGTTTGGCTTGTGGTGTGATTGGGATCGCTCAATAAACATTCCCTGCAATGTTGTGGTCTGAGTCCTCGTAACTCATCTGCTTTCTTGCTAGTTGTAGAAATTTAACTTGATAAACATTAAACACTGTAACCTTAAAAGTGTAATTGGTGTGACTTTTTTTTTTTTAATTACTTTAAGTACCTGTAATGAGAACTGATCTATGATCACTTGGAAGATTTGTATAATTTTATAAAACTCATTCAATTAAAATGTGTTTCAGTGATTTCTGTATTTTGCCAGACTTAATCCCACATGGGTATTAAATTGTCTGAACTGCTTCAGTTCTCACTCAAGCCTACAATAAACAAGTACCCTGTATGGCACTGTATTTTGAGCCTATTAAATTATCTAAACTGAAATTATAAACTAGCTTTGATCCTCATACATAGAACATAAATGGAACAGATTTAGTAGTACGTTCATAAGATTAACTATTTCATAGAGCGCTTTTGAAAGTGTTTTAAATGAGGTAATCAAAACGTTTAAAATTTTAGCAGATGGTCTTTTAGCTAAGACTAACCTGAAATTTAGTCTGACAAATAGGGTATCCTTTGTTACCTTGAGAGAAATTAAGGTGGTTTCCCTACTTAGCCGTACAGCGTTTTGATTCAAAAAGTATGTAAGTTTGTAAAAAGTAGATGTTAACGGTTTGAGAGCCCTTTGATAACTTCTGGTGAAATTGTGAATGGCAAGTTACAGCCTCAGCTAAGAATAAGATTAATTTACCTACCTGCTGCCACTTTTGTAGACCTGTGAACATTTAGTTTATAATAAAAGTAGAGGATGGCACAATCTGCTTTCAGATTAGCCATTTAAAGAAAGAAACTAGCACTGTAAGATGGAACCAAGGAAATGTTTCTGGGTTCTGGCTGTTTAAATATAAGAATTTACACACCCAATTAGTGAATTCAAGTTTGTTTCTCAATGTAAATACTTATGCGCCTGTAAGAGAATGCTTTAAATGAAATGTTTAACTCAGGTTTGATTGTGGGTTATGGTTGTTTATTAACTAAAAGTTGTAGAATACTCTGATAAATTAGAAATAAGCTACAATTCTGATTGATCATAAATATATGATGTACTTTATCAAATGTAGATTACTTAGGAGAGGAAAAGCTAGTTTGGAAAAAATTTGTAGTGTCTTCGAAGTTTTAAAATTGGTAATAAAGAACAGTATGCTCACAATAAGTGGTTAAAACCACTATCAGGTAGGTAGAGAATCTAAAAACAGTATTTAACAGATTTCACTAATGTACAGTTTGGTACATATGTGGGATAAGACAACTACAGGGACTCGCTTGTGACCTTTAAGGCTTCAAGTGTGATCACTACCACTTTTGGGCTTCTCTTGTGCACACAGGGTGTTCTCAATACTTTCAATTGGAAATACAGGGCTGCAAGTCCTTGGAATCTGAACATATAAATAACCAGATGTGTATTTCCAGAAGCAGTTTCACTAGGACTTTTAATCTTCTCAGTGGCCCAACATAACTAAGGAAAAGTTTCGTAATTCAAGTCTGCAGATAAGAAACGGGATTTTCTTATTTCCAAAGGCAGGAACATCATAAGAACATCATTGCCTTAGAGAAATTCTCCGTGTGCAAGATCTTGCTGCAGCGTACTATTTAAAAACCAAAGTAATACAGCAGCTTCGCCTGGGGATGAGGGCAAAGAAAAAGTTAAGGGCTCAGCACACTGAAACTTGAACAATGTAACTTAGGGAGAACAAAAGCTTCAACAAGGCCGTCAGTACTTGGATTGGGTGCCGGCAGGTCTTGGCACTGGGTCAGCAGCTGTGCGGAACTGCTCTCCTGGACAAACTGAGGGACAAGTTTGGTTTGGCTTTGGATGTCTTCATGTCATCATGGATAACCTACAACGATTCTTCCTAGTTAACCCAACAATTTTAGGCAAGAGAGATGATAAAGTACTTTATATGTGGCAAGAAGTTCAGTCTACCTCTGCCCAGCAGGGGAGTTTAAAAAATGGTCAAGAATGGCAACAGGCAAGGAAACAGCAGGTTGCATTTAAGTCCTTAAACATATAAAATAAGACAAAAAGCTTTTAGGTTGCAAATATTAACCTTGACTTCCTTCATCCTTTTGAAAAATTTAATGGGATGGTAAGAAAAACACCCAACCTTCTAAATAAGTAATACCCAGGTAATCAGATAATTTATAGTACAATGTACTGGTAAGGTGGGATCCAAATTTTCCTCCAACAAAATTTCTCTTTACAAATTAATTAGGGCAATATTTACCACAAAGCCAATGGCAAAAAAGAAAACCTTGATTGAACTGCAAAACTAACAAGCTTTTCAATTAACATTAAAACTACTAACCTTTACCTTATGATTGAAATGCTAAAAATCAAAAGTATTACAGATGAAAGTATTTGAGAATAAGTACATAAAGATGTCTATTTCCATCAAATAAGTCTAATTTAGACTCCAATACAGTATTAACAGGTCAAACTTTGATGGTGAACAATCCTTTTCCAGTGTAGGAAGAATAGCACACATTAAAGTTTGTTACGAAAATAGAGTTTATTAAAAACATCCCTATTGTTTTTGAGGAGCTTTCACCATTACCTTGTCTTAAATTAAAAAAAAAAAAAAAAAAAAAATAGAGAGCACTTCTAATTACGATTTGTAAACTTTTTAAAGTCAAAACTTTTAAAAAGTTACAGCAAAAAGGGTAATATTTATTCATATTTTTGTTATTTTGTGGCTATTTTTAAATAGAAGGGAAGCAATCAAATTGCTTACAATTCCCCACCAACTACTGTGGGGCTGTGATATAGCAGGAGCAAATATAATACAGCATCTGTACACCTCAAGCTCTACACTCCAGGAAGTGTCACTGTCACATTTTGACAAATTCCAGTCTCTAACGAGGAGCCTCTGCTGCTGAGCCAGAATCCTTTTCGGGTTCAACGGATGAGGTAGCCTCAGCAGGTAACTCTTCAGAAGGTTTTGCAACTGCAGACTCAGACTCCCCCTTATCAAGTTCTGAAGCAGTGTCTACATTTCCCACTTGGCTAATGGGAGGGTCAATGGTTTTGTTACCACCTGCCCTGTCTGTCACCTCAGGCTTTTCCTTTCCTCGGTTTTCTTCCTTCTCTCTACGAGACTCTCTATCTCTAGAATCTCTCTCTCTGTCTCGATGCCCACTAGAGCGTCTATTTCTCTCTTCCAAGTCTCTGTGCCTGTCCCGGTCAGGGCTCCTTCTTCCCCACTCTCTCCTTTCACGATTACTATTCTCTCTATCGTCATTACGGTTCCCATACCGTTCCCGGTCATTTTCCACCCTATTTCCGAAAGATCTTCTTCCAAACCTTTCTTGGTCTCTACCTGAATTGAACTGCTGCCTGTTATCATTTCTAAACGGCTGTGGTTGCTGCTGAGTTGGTGGTGGTTGCTGAGCTGGTGGTGGCTGCTGCGGCTGTGGCTGTGGTGGTGGCGGCTGCTGCTGCTGCTGTGGCTGTTGCTGCCTTCCGTCTCTGTCTTCAGGACCCCCTGGGCCTGGCCCTGGGCCCCCAAGCCCTGGCATTCCACCAGGCCTAACAAAGGGACCATGCGGTGGAAAGGGACCTTTCATTCCATGAGGTGGAGGCATTCCAAAGCCCCCTGGTCCTGGTGGTGGGCCTCTATGCATCATGTGTGGTGGCATGGGACGAGGTGGCATCAAAGGGAATCTCTGTAAATGAGGTGGAGGCATTCCTGGCGGGCGCTGGAGTGGAATCAGGCCAGGGCGGGCACCAAGAAGACCAGTGGATGGTGCCTGGAGACCAATTACAGGACCAGGTGCAACTCCTTGAGTACCTAAAAGGCAATAAAAATACAAATGTAAATAAAACACCAGAGAACATGGCATTCTATTTTCAACTATTTCCTGTGAAGCTTGAAGCAAAATGAAACTCAATCCAGAATCTTCAAATTTCATATTGTTTGCCTGTCTACCTGTCGGAAACTCATTGTGAGGGCCCAGTAACAACCCAGGGCAAGGAGTCTTAAAGATATTTATATATTATACATATAAAAAGATATATTTTATTAGTACATGTATATTAGTATCTAATATAGGTAAAGGCTGAAATAAGCTGGAAAAGGAAATTGTAACATACCAATTTTTGGAAAAAGTACATCAAAATCTCCTTATATAGCCTTCATTAGTAGCTGTTTTATCACTCAAAAATCTTAAAGAGAAACACATTGAGAAACAATGTGCTCAAGTCCTAAAGAGATAAAGGACTGAACTATTCAAGCCAACTGAAGGTTATTTCAGGTGTACTCTTAGAAAAATTTACACTCCAAGTCTTGATTTGACTTATTACTAGAAAAAAATGGGGTCATTAACCCAGAAAATCCAGTAAAGAGGGAGGTCTCTTTGATTCCATGCCATTAAAATGCCTCATGTAGTTATCATGCAGTAAGCATTACTTAAACACTAATAAAATAAGGATTCATACACAAAAGTACAGTTTATTTTCACCAGTCCCTTTCCAAAGCACAGCATAATGTGTACACTGCTAGGCCAAAATGACTGCTCAGTAAGGTGGAATGTTCATTCTTTCACCTTCTATTCATTCTTCTAAAGGTGGCAAGTGCTGTTGAAAGTGACAATGACCTACTGGGTTCATTTCCCATTTACATGAGGGGTTCCTCATGTTTTAGTGTTAAGAGTCATACAAATTCAACAACCCATCATTTACAATGATATGAAAAAGAAGGATTTCTGGTTTGGTTCACCATTTAAGTAACAGAAAGTCATCGTCATATCTCATTTTATTTCTCTGCAAATACAAGCATTACAAGGCAGATACTATAACCAATAGGAGTTACTCTAATAATGGAAAACGTTCCAGATATTGTCAGAATATGCTGTTTACCCATGTACTGCATAAAGGTCTCTGAGCAAGGGGTTACGACTATCAACTGGCAATGGTAAGAGAAAGGCTTGTGTGACACTGATAGAAAAACAATCTGACAGCAAACCCAATAATTTAATACTAAGTAGTTTCATCTTTTCCCCCCAATACTGTGTCATTTTATGTTTACAGCTTGAATCACTTCCTCCCACTTACTTCAGCAAACATTTAACAA